AAAGAATCTACAGAATCACAAATCAATAAAGCCAAACAAACAAAGGACCAGTGTGCTTTTCTGGAGAAAAAGATGTCCAAAAACAAAACAGATCAATGCTAAATTTGTACAGAATATTGGCTAGAGTAATATACACAGTTCTGGCCCCTATATTGCAAAAATTATATACAAGCACTGGGGAAAATGCAACAAATGATTGATAAGGATGATATGAAAACTGGAAGCATAAAAAGACAGGAGTGGTGAGATAGAGGTATATATGTGGGATAGCAAAACAAGGCACTATAAATTTTAGTTCTTAGTAATTCTGATTTAGAGGAGATCTATTTTCTCAAACAGTAATGTAAATGTGGCACTCACTGCTACATGCAGCATTTGAGGTAAATAGAATAAATTCATTTAAGTGTAGGCTAGAAAATTACATGAGTAAGAGTTAATACAACTTACATTTTTACAATATAATTAGTGCAGTTAACTATTTCAAGGCACACCACAGCAGCATTTTAGTACAAAGTCTGAAATAAAACCATGTTAGAAAATATTAGGCCAAATGAGCAAAAAGCTTGGTCAAAGATCTAGGTTTCCAAGCAGCCAGAGAGGAAAGTAATTTGGAGACTTGGTGATAAATAAGTAGGGTATTTCAGGCTTGACACCTCGGAAACTGCAGCCACTAATAATGAAGCAATAAAAATTGGGATGTATCAGAAATAAAGGAGCACACAGAATCAGAGAATCATATAGTACAGAAGAAGCCCTTCAGCTCATCAAGTCTGTTCTGCCAAAAATACACTATTGCCTACACTAGTCCCACTTACCTGCAGTAAACTCATAGCTTTGAATGTTATGACACTTCAAGTGTCACTGAAATATTTTTCAAAGGTTGTGAGGTTACCTGCTTCAACTATCCTCCCAGACAATACATTTCAGACATCCACCACCCTCTGAGTGAAAAAGCTTTTCCTTCAATCCCCTCTAAACCCCCTGCCTTTTACTTTAAATGTGTGCCCTTTTGTTTCTTGACCCATTAACTAAGAGGAAGCAGCTGCCTACCCCATCCCTGTCTATGTTCCTCATAATCTCATACACCTCTATCATGTCCCCATGCTTAAACTTCTCTGCTTCAAAGAAAACAACCTGAGATTACCAAGCCTCCCTTTTTAGCTAAAATGCTCCATCCCCGGCGACATCCTGGTGAAACAAAATCAGAAATTGCTGAAAAAACTCAACAGGTCTGGCAGCATCTGTGGAGAGGAAGCATAGTTTAACATTTTCAGTCCAGTGACTCTTCTTCAGAACTGATAGTGGCTAGGAAAAGGTGACATAAATGCTGACACTCCCAACACCTCTCCACACCTCCATGGCACGTTCCTATGCTGTTCACAGGGAACTCTACACCTGGGACACCCTGGTCCACTCCTCCTCTGTTCACAACACCTCCCCACACCTCCACGTGCATTCTCATGCAAGATGCAACACTTGCCTGTGTAGCTCCTCGCTATCCAAGGCTCCAGGCACGTCTGCCAGGTGAAGCAATGATGTACCTACACTTCACTTAATCTAGTCTATTGTATTCATTGCTCACAATGAGGTCTCGCTGACTGGGTGATTGTTTTACAGAACACCTACATTCTGTCAAAAAAATGACCCTGAGCATCCTGTTGCTTACAACTTCAAGACATCACCATTTTCCCTGGCCAACATCTCTGTGTTGGGCTCCAGCAAGGCTCAGCGCAAGCTGGAAGAACAGCTCATTTTCTGCTTCAGGACTCTGCAGCCTTCAGGATTCAATATCGAGTTCAATAACTTTAGAACCTGAATACTTTCTTCTCCATCCTTTATCCACCCAACACCACTGGCTTTGTCATAACATCGGCTGCTTTCAGCACAGCCAACTCATTTTCATCTACTTTGATCCCCATTATCAGCTTTTCGTTCTGTCTGGCATATTATCACCCATCCCTTTGTCTGCTCAACTGGGCTCCATGTCTATCTGCTCACTCCTTCCTCCACCCACCCCCTGTCTTCAGCATATATACCATCTTTTCCTAGCCACTATCAATACTGAAGAAGGGTCACTGGACTCAAAATGTCACCCCTGTTGCCTGTCTATGGATGCTGCCAGCTCTGCTGTGTTTCTCCAGCAATTTCTGTTTGTTTTTTCAGATTTCTAGAACCTACAGTTCTTTGTTTTATTTCAACATCCTGGTTAATCTCCTCGGCATCACCTCCAATGAAATTACATCCTTCTTCCCGGTGACCAGAACTGATAAAGGCAAGCATTCCCGTGTGCCTTCTTAACTACCCTGTTAACCTACACTGTCACTTCAGGGATTTGTGGATAAGCACCCCAAGATCTCTCTGTTCCTCTGAGTTTCCTAGTGTTTTGCCGTTCATTGAGTACTCCTTGTTTTGTTAGTTCTTCCAAAATGCTTCAGCTCACATTTATCACAGTTAAATTCCATCTGTCATTGATTTGCCCTTCTGATCAATCCCTATATATACTCTTGCAACGTAAGGCCTTCCTCCACACTGTCAACCATCCAAACAATCTTCACGTCATCTGCAAAATTGCTTGTCATTCCACCCCCACCCCATTTTCATCTGCATCATTTGTAAATATCAGAAGCAATAAAGGACCCAGCACTGATCCCTGTGGCATATCAACCACACCAAGCTGCAGCCATATTGTCTTCTATCATCACTCTATGTCTCTCGCCACTAAGCAAATTTTGGATCCAACTTGCCGCATTATCCTGGATCCCATGAGCTTTACCTTCTTTCACAGTTTCCCATGTGGGACCTTGTGAAATCCACATAAACTATATCAACTGTTTTATCCTCATCGACATATTTGGTCACCTCCTCAAAAAGTTCAAATGGATTTGTTAGGCATGACTTCCATCTGACAAAGCCAACCTGACTATCCCTGATAAAACATTGCCTCTCCAAATGGACATTAATTTTCTACATCAGTATGTTCTCCAATAGTTTCCCCACAAATAATGTGAGACTCGCTGGTCTACAGTTCCCTGGTGTATCACTACTACCCTTCTTGTAAAGTGAAACCACGTTAGCCATCTTCCAGTCCTCTGGCACCACCACTGTGACCAGAGGCGATATTAAAAATTTGGGCCAGGGCACCTGTGATTTCCTCCTTCTTCTCCCACAGCAGCCTGGGATACAATTCATTGGGACCTGGGGATTTGGCCATTTTTGAACCTACCAAAATCTCCAATACCACCTTGCTTTTTATATCAATCTGCTCAGCAACTTCACAGTCTGTCTTTTTGAATTCTGTACTTGCATCCTCCTTCTCCCGAGTAAAGATAGACGTAAAGTACTCATTCAATACTTGATCAATGCCCTCCATTATAGTACTGGATGGGATTATAAGGCTATGGAAGGACGCAGCATTTGAAATAAAAGAATAAGAATTTTAAAAGCAAAGCTATTTGGCAATCAATTCAGGTTAGCGAGTACAGATAAGATAGCAAAATGAACATGGTGTGGGTTAAGACAAGTTTAGGATTACCCCAAGTTATAGAGGCTGTAATGTACGATACTGGCTAGAAGTATGTTCCAATTGTCACATCTGGAGGTAACAAGTTAAGCTTTTTTTTAGAGCAAATGCTCCATCACAGGGACAGTTTTATGGAGGTGAAGTAGATGATCTTAATGACGGCACAAATATTAACGCTAGCAAGTGGTGAGAAGCTCACATGGAGCATAAACAGTGGTACAGGTTTGTTGGGTCAAATATTCTGCTTCCTCACTGTGGATATTTTGTAATTTTGTATGGGGTTAATCCCAAATACACCAAAGGGAAACAGCTACAAAAATAACTTTCAGATCTAAAATACGGAACCTCAGAATTCAACACAGGATCAGGTTTCTGCATCAACAGCTATAATAGCATAACTCACTTAAGTGCATCCAAATTTGCAACTGGTATTTCCATAGCAATCTTGACATTAATTCAGGAAGATATTAAATGGGATTTGAAGACAAAAAGGAATAAGGGGCACGGTGAAAATGTTAATTGAATTAAGGAAATTGTGAGCACTTTTTTTTAACATGTCATGAATGAAGCTGCCGCATATTGCTCGAATTCCACAACTCCAATTTACATAGGCAGCTAATCATGCACAAGATCGAGACCACAAATATGGAGGCTGGGGTTGAGGTCAAGGGCTCAGTGTGAGCGATTGTGGGGCGTTAGGGGGACTTTTGCGTCAACGACTTCCTGGGGAACTATGCTGGTAAGATTACCGAACTGTGGACAATTCCTTCTTAGTATTGTAGCATATTTTTCCAGAGTGCTCCCCGGACGACGGAACTTGCCCAAGAGGTCGGCGTTCAAATTTTACGGGCAAATCCGGCGGAATTGATTGGAGAATTCCGTGGCTCACTGACAGCGAGGCGGGGGGTTACTGCTGGTGGAGGGGGGAAAGCACAAAGTGCTGGAGAGACTCAGCAGCATCTGTAGAGAAAGAAGAGTTAACATTTCGAATCCAGTGACCCTTTGTCGGAGCTGGGAAAGAGCGGTATTTATACTGATGGGATGGGGGTTGAGGGTGAGAGGGAGGTGTTGTGGGGCTGGGAATTGCATTTGTTTGGCTTTATTGCTCTTGGTGGAATTGTGCATCTGCAGGTTTTTCTTTCAAAACCCCAGCAACCACGGCTCAAGTCACAGTGTGGAGCTGGAGGAACACAGAAAGTGAGGCAGCATCAGAGGGGGGGGGGGGGCAGGAGAGTCGACGTTTCGGGTCGGGACCCTCATTCAGAAATCTGTGCGACTCCAGCATCTGCAGTTCTTACTGTCTCCAAAAGGCTCCAGTCAACGCCGTGCACCAGCTCATCCCCGGGGGGAGGCATTCCATACACGTCCCAGAGCCGGCACTGCCCTTCTCCTATTGGCCCAGACAATCAGATTGATACATCTACTACCCAATAGTAAGAAGTATTCCGCGGAGGGTGTGCGCCGCCACCTCCAATCAGACGCCGGCTCAAGGCCGGAGGGGCCCCCGAAGTCAGGTGATCAGGTCACATGATCAGACAGACGGTGTGGCGGCGGGTGAGTAGCTACGCTGTGCTGGGGTCTTTGTGCTTTTAGTAATTAATGTGAGGTCAACGTGCTTTTAAACTAAGATCTTATTTGTGGCTGAGAACAGGAATTGTTGGTGAAACTCAACAGGTCTGGCAGCATCTGTGGGAAGAAAGCGGAGCTAACGTTTCGGCTCCGGTGACTCTATCTGTCAGAACTTTCTTTGTAGTAGCGAAGGAAAGGTGATATTTATTGCTGAAGATGAAGTCAGGTTGAGCGGGTAGGTGGAGAGATGGGGTAAGAGAGGTAAGCAGCACACGTAATGTCCTCGATGTACCAGAGAAAATCGTGGGGAAAGGCCCGTTTGGACTGCAATAAAGAAGGGTTCTGCAAATTCCACAAGGAGGTAGGCATAACTTGGACCTGTGCGTCTTCCCATGGCCGCACCTTTTGACCCGAAGAAAGTGAGAAGAGTTACAGGAGAAGTTACTCAAAGCGAGGTCGACCTCAGCCAGGCAGAGGGTGGTGGTGGTGAACTTTGCTTTAAACTTGGGGGACAAAGTGCTGTGAGGTCAACATGACTTTTAAACCCAGCTACCTGGTGACCTGGAACAGAATCCGTCTTTAGCCAGGGGTTAGTGTTGGGGCAGACTGGAGGGAAGTAAGTGTATAGTGGGTGGCCTGGTAATGGTGGGTTAGGGGGTGGGTGTGTATTGGCAGACTGCGGAGGGTCAGTGTGAGTGTGTAGGAGCAGGGAGCACCTTCCAAACCTAAGACATGTCACCTAGAAGAAGGACGGCAGATACGTGAAAATTCCACCACCTGTAAGATTCTTTCTAAGCATCTCACTATCCCAGCTTTGAAATATATCCCCATTCTTTCATGCTCTCTGGGTCAAAATCCTGGAATGCACTCTCAGCATCTATGAGTATATCTATGCTATAATGACTACAGCAGTTTGAGAAGATGGCTCACCAACACTGTTAGGGCAGTTGAGGATCAGCAATACGTACTGGCTCAGCTAGCAAAGTCCACATCCCTTGAATGAATGAAAAAAAGACTCAGCCACTGCCCCTGTAGTATCCCATAACAACCATTACAGATTTGGGAGCTGTGACCCCCAAATTGTGTTCACTGACCTCACTTGTGAATGTGATCCATCTTTTGGTGAGCTCTGTTGTAAAGTAATACAATACTATATTGTGAAAATTCATGTCATCTATTAAAGGCCTTTAAGTTGCTACAATATGAGTAGTGATAAACTACCGTTGTTACCTTGGAGATTTATCTGTGTGGTCATACTGTGTAGTACCATGCATTTTGTGTCTGTATATCTCCCAGTTTCAAAGTGAAAAGCATTGTTTGTGAACACAAAGTTGACCTTTGAGTCTGGATTGTATATACAGTTCTCATTATCCACTGATTCATTATCTGTGGATTCCTGAACACACAAGGCTGGCCTCAGGCACCTTTTCATTTTCCTATTCACCTGTCTGGTCTGATTGCATCATCCTTCATGGTATATAGTGGTATCCAGGTCGTTTTCTATGGCAATAAGTGCCTGTCCCGATCCTCTGTGAGGATATGGTGAATGAACATTGGGTGAGGACATGGTGCACGTGATCAAAGACCCTGCAGATCCTCATTTGAGGTATGGTCATAAACAATAATGACTTGCCTGTGCTGTTGTAAGACCCACAGCTATTTATACACAACTTTTCCCTCAGGAAGGGAGACAGTTTTTTTTCCTATTCATTTCATGGGATGTGGGCGTCACTGGCTGGCCAGCATTTCTTGCCCATCCCTAGTTGCCCTTGAGAAGGTGATGGTGAGCTGCCTTCCTGAATCGCTGCATTCCTCCTGCTGGCCCATTGATGTAAAGAGAAATTCCCTTGGCATTATTTGAAGAACTGGCTGAAATTATGTCCAACAAATTCCTCCCCTTTCCAAATATAGAATATCAGTGACAAAAATTTCTAAACACGTTATCTGGTGCCTTACTGCCATTTTTGGGAAATTGCTGCGTGCATGTTGGCTATGACAAATTCCCACATTACATTAACAGACTTTTTCAAAAAAAAAACCTTAGGAAATGTGAAAGTTAATTTCTTAAATAAAGAAGTAAGAATATTGCTAAAACTCCAGTCATTTTATTCACTAATCTTACTGTGGCTTGTGTATGTGCATTCCATATTTTAATTGATCTATTCAATCCTTGGATAATCTTACAGACTTGCCCTCCTTTAAAGGGAAACTTAGTGTTGGAGAATCGAATAGTTCTCTCATTTCAGATGCTCAGCTCCAACATAGTGCTAAACTGAACTAACTGGAGGTGCTGGAAATTTGAAGCACAAACCCACACAGAAAATGCAGTGATACATAAGTTCAGTAAAATTCTGTGTACAGAATAGATGAGTTAAAGTTTCAGGTATAGACCCTTCTGAACTGGTAATACTTATGATTGGTGATTTCTTTCAAGGGTAAGGTGGGTAGATGCAGAATAAATATCCTTGTACTCTGGTCCACTGACTTGCCACGGGCTTGGCCTTAGAGGCCCACTGTCCAAAACTTGATCTTTTCTAAATGATACATATGGGGCCCTTCTCTTATGTGAGCCTATATCTTTACGTGAGTTGGATTGAGACATCCTAAACAGATTTAATTGTGTCCATGCTGTCAAAAGACTTGCATCCATTAGTCTGAGTGCAGTTCATTCAGAGGTGAAAGATGAGGGGTGTTGTATCTGTCTGCATCAACTTCTTTTCCAGCCTCTCACAATCTTATTATTTCTTAGTATATGTTGATGATGTCTGGATTCACTTCTGTACTAAAGCAGTCTTGGTCAGCAAGTGAGAGTGAGACTGTATCAGTATGAAAAAAAGACTGACAATGCAATGCAATGCAAAGCAAAGGCTGCAAGGTGATTTATAAAAGTATTGAGGGTTTCAAAGAAAGTGATGAATGTGCAATGATTGTGGAAACAAGAGACTTGCAAAAGGTATTGAAGCTATTAAAAGGTATTTATAAATATATTAAAAAGTTGTAAAATGGATATGGGCCCATAACAATCTGCACGTTGATTAGTAATGGATAATAAGAAATTGGCAGATTTATTATATGGTTTCACACTAGAGGATGAAGAAGGTTCTTTGTGTCACAGTATATTTTTAGATCTGGGAAGAGGAGGAATTTGGTACATTTTATTACGGTTAAAAATACGATAACGGTGAAAAAGACAAGATTGACAAATTCCACCCAATGGTAATTAGATAAAGGAGGAAATTGAAGATGCATTGATCTTTTTCCAGTTTTTTCTATATGCAGGAGTTCATCTTTGGACTGTACAATTTCAAATGTCACTCCATTCTTCAAGATAGTAGAAACAGGGTAATGATGGCCTGCCAGTTTAAAATGAATTGCTTTAAAGTTACTGTGATTTATCAAGTTTACCACCTTGCTCTGTTTTCCTTTTCCTCCATCTCCTCTTTCTATCTGTCTCTCTTACTTTTTCTGTCTCCCTCCCAAACATTTGCCTTGAGTAAAATCTAGAATTCTTAATTTGAAAGCTACAAACTTGCTTTGCTGCTTGTGAACAAAATTAGTCTGGGGAGCAAGTTACATTTTCCTGTTTGGTCAGCTTATTTTAATAGACAATTACATTGTGCATTAAAGTAGGGACATAAAATATGAAGTGTGTTTTGTGAAGACTATGTTCTTTTATTTTTCTGTCTTTTTAATTGTAGACTGAAAGGGGAAAAGGACTGTTTTTAAAAACCAACGGTTGTGGAAGGGATTGCAGCACTTTTTTAAAGCAGGTGTTCTCAAACTGCTGGTATGGCAGAGATAGAGTAGCATACTTTACACCTAGCAGCTCAAGACCTTTGCAGAGCTGAAAATGTTTGTTATTAATTATATATTGTTGCTTAGTGCATTGTATATGTATTTATTGCATTGTTTCACTTGTGTGTAAGACTTAGTTCAGTTCCTTTCACTATTTAATTAAGCTGCATTGGTCCCACTGAGATTAGCAGCGTTTTTTTATGTTAAGCAAAAATAGTTTCATCAAAAGCAGAACAGCAACTAACATTATTAGCAGAAACTTTGCTTGACATTTTCAGGACATCTACAGATTGAAAACCTTTACATAAATCGGTTTCACATAGTGTTAGTAAGTTCCTCTTGTTTCGTGGTTTAGAATTCTGCGCAAGAATACTGTACTTATTTTTCATGTCAAATGATATCAAGTAGCATTCTTGTAAAGATACTTCTTGTTTCTTTCCCAGTAGAAATAGCTGCATAGCATTTAATACCACATCCTTGCTAACTTACTAAACATGCTTAATATCTCTTTGCACTTTCTCTTTGTTTTTGCAGCTTACTTTCCAAACTTAATTTGCATAATCAACAAATTTGTATACATTATATTCCAGCTATAGTAGTAGCTGAAACTCGAGCATTGGTCCTTTATAGTTAACCACTGGTTACACCTTACCAATCTATAAATCTTTACTTTTTTAAAGAAAACACAAAGAACTGCAGGTGCTGGAAATCAGAAACAAATACAGATTGCTCAGCAGGTCTGGCAACATCTGTGGAGAGAAAGCAGAGTTAAAATTTTGGGTCCAGTGACCATTCGTCAGAACCGATTTGTAGCTGGGAAAATGTTGGAATTTTTAGAATCATAGAACACCTACAGTGTAGATGGAGCACATTTGGCCCATCGAGTCTGCACTGCCCCTCTGTTGACTGTGCCATACAGACCCTCCCACCTCATGCCCATAACCCTGCATTTATTATAGTTAATCCATCTCACCTGCACATACCTGGACACGGGAGGGCAGTTTAGCGGCCAGTCCACCTAATCTGCATATCTTTAGACTGTGGCCGGAAACTGGAGTATCCAGTAGAAACCCATATAGACACGGAGAATGTGCAAACTCTACACAGTCACCTAAGGCTGGCATCAAACCTGGGTCCCTGGCAGTGTGAGGCAGCAGTGCTAACCACTGTGCTACTCATATATGCTGAAG